GGAACTCTCGCAAACCGTGCGACCGCTCTTACCTACTGAGCTACCGAGCCTGGGACAATCCCGGCCAGCCACTACACTCCTCCCCCCCCCTCCCAGAGATACGCCCATAGTTACTTTTGAACTTGAATAGGAAATCATATACTGGCAATCTAACTGTGACCTTGAAATTGACCTTTGACCTACTTTTCACCATGCACTGAAATTTGCAATTTTTCTATCCATTATATCTCCAAAACTAGCAGAGATACACCCATAGTTACCATTGAACTTGAATAGGAAATCACATACTGGCAATCTAACTGTGACCTTGAAATTGACCTTTGACTTACATTTCATGATGAACTGCACTTTGCAATTTTTCCATCCCTTTTATCTCCAAGACTAGCAGATATACACCCATGGTTACTTTTGAACTTGAATAGGAAGTCATATACTGGCAATCTAACTGTCACTTTGAAATTGACCTTTGACTTTCTTTTCACCATGAACTGAACTTTGCAAATTTCTATCCCTTATATTTCCAAAACTGGCATAGATAGGCCTATTTCTTTCTTTCAGTGTATATGGGACACTGATAACACATTTCAAAGAAAACTGACAAGCCTATTGTCTTGAAATTGGGCTTGATCGGACCATTTTTTATAAAAGTTGTGCTGTCTTTTGCTTTTTTTTTGGGGGGGGGGGGCATATTTCTTGTCTTGTTTATTGCATTTTGAAGAGCTTGTCAAACACAACACTGGTGGTTATTCCTGTTTGTTTTTGGTTTTTTGTACGATTGTGCTTACTCCAGCTGGTGGTACAATATCCGGAGGCGGTATCGCCTCTCTGATCCTCTAGTTTTTGACAAACTTTTGGTGCAGGTCAAAGTACATCTGTTACAGAAAATGTGCATTTTAGTTTTTAGTTATTGTACTAAAAATAATTATTAAAAAAGCTGCTTTTTTCCCAAAGCACACTCTCAATAATGCTGCACTAAATATTGTTTACCAAATTTTAATATGATGTTAATATTAGAACGGTTGTACACACTTAATAAAGCTGAGTAAGACCTTTCTTTTGAAAAAGTTATAAAATAAAATACCATAACAAGAACTTTCATCACCTTAAAAGTAAAATATGCTTCGAAATAAATTACTTTTTATTACCTCCACCAAGGAAGTTATGTTTTCACCCCATGTTTGTTTGTTTGTTTGTCTGTTTGTCATCAACATAACTCAAAAAGTTATGGACAAATTTTTATGGAATTTTCAGGGTAGGTCAGAAATGGGTTAACTTAGAAGTGATTAGTTTTTGGTTGTGATCCGGATCAATATTCAATCAATAAAAAAGTTATGGACCGATTATGTGAAGTTTTCAGGAACTGTCAGAAGTGGGCCAAGGAACAGATGATTAGTTTTTGGTGGTGATCCGGATCAGTAATCAATCAATCAATAATCAAAAATAAAAAAAACTACATCATTATAGAATGAAAATTTAGGGATGAAACGGCATTGGGTAGAGACTTTGCTGCCTTGGCAGAGGTCTGCACTCTCAGAGTGCTTATCTAGTTTTATAGTACATTATATTTGGTTTTGATCTTTTTAAGAATGAATGGGCAACAGATTACCCCAGGAGAAAAAAGATGATCTCACACAGTTTCTAATAGAACCTTTCCCAAAATATGTAGACAAAATAAGTCGGGACAACACATGTGCTGACCACGTAGCCATAGAACAAATTTGAGAAGCCCTTGCTATAAAATCCATTACCATTATTAAGGAGGATGGTGATCGTACCATAGACAAACATCTAACGTAATGTCATGTTTTGCTTTCTAGAGACCAGCATACAGTGTCCTCTCTCTGAGTACTGACTACTTACGTCTACCTTTATTTCTATCTTTATATACCTTCACATATTACACTACATTGGCTTCCCAGCCAGTTGGGTTGCCAGAGTGGTCACTTTAATTCAATTAAACATGTGATAGAGAAGACTTCCAGAGTGAGTACTAAATGGCTCCTACTACTGGACAATAGGCAGAGGACCATTCCTAAAATACATTCGAGGTGGATGTATTTGTTAATTAAAGATATGGCTTTTTATTTAAATGAGTTACATGTACCTAGTGTGACTCTGAACAAACTGACTTCTTCAAACTTGACCTGTAAACTGATTATAGAAGAATTCATCCCGAAAAACATTAAACCCGCACATTTAAAGAGAATCTGTTGAGACAGTGGTTGGGTGGTGCAAGAGTGATGATCTGATCGGGTTGAGGGATGGTGACCAGAATTATCTGCATCTTTACACAGGCAACAGCTAACAATCAATCTGACATACAATGCACATCAATTCAGACACAAAATCTGGTATGAAAATTATATATCATAAAATCATGGCTATGAATATAGAGCTGGGTAAATACCTGAGTGGAGACTGCCACAAGACGTCTGCATGCACCATCAAAATATATATATTTTTGGCACTAGTTGAGACCTGCAAATTTAGGGGTTGACAGGACAGGTGTATGGAAGTATTGCTTTAGAAGTACATAGAGTTGTGGGTTGTGATATAGCTCCACTGATCGCTCTTTTTATTTATATACATTAAATACTTCTGAAAATCGCATAAAAATTCAGTCTGGTCTGCTGCATCTTATTCACATTAAAAAAAAAAAAAAACAGATAGATAAAGAGGATAATTTGAATTTATTTTTCTCATTTAAAGATTAATAGCATTAATATTTATGGAATGTAGAAGTTGCAAAGTAACTTTGAAACTAATGCCAAAGGACACTGATAGCTCCACTTCAATATGGCAGAAGACCCGACCATTTTATAGGTAAGGCTGATGGTACCGACAGCTGGTAAAAGATATTTTTTATCCAGCAATACTTCTCGCTTTTGTATTAGCCTGTTTTAATGTTACAGGCCTTTTCTAGTGTTTACTCACTCTCGCTTCCATTTTTTCCAGTGTATTGCGCTGTATTGCGTCGTATTGCGCATTTCAGCTCCTCCGATTACTATTTGACATTTTCAAATACGAGTCTTTTTCTTATATTTAATATGTTCAAAATTTATCATTTTCAAAATCAAAATTTATCAATAGCAAATTCAATCATGTCACTTTTCAAAATGCTTGAATCAACATTTTTGAACATTGCTTACAAAATATTTGTAAACAGTGAGTTCACTTAATTGTTCTTTAAAATTAACATACGGTAATGTGCCAAGCATTTCGACAGGCCCAGTCAATCCGACCAAAAAAATTATATTATAAAATTAATTTTTCTGGGCTCAAACATTTAGTCCATACGTCAAAATCATGCAACATAATTTTTTTCTTGTTCCGATTGTTCGACCACATTGTCGACAAGACTCGGTAAATTTTCAAGCCAGTGAAATAGATGCTGTATGCCTCAGCCCTTTGCCAATTGTTGTCCTTTCAATAGCTCTCGTCAATGAGGAAGAAACAATTAATTGAAGATCTAATCTGGAAGCGAGACGTACCTGTCATTTCCTTTGTCCCCGATGACAATAATAGTGTTTATAGACATACAATTTGTGCTTATTACGAATATTTGCCCTCGCTGACTGATTCGTCACGCCCATAACTGGATGGGGGGGGGGGGGGGGGGGGGGCATTTTGAAGAATGAAAAAGGTCTGTTCTGGATGAAACCAAATATCGACAGTGGGTAGAATATGGAGTAAACACCTTCATATAGACTATATATAGCGTTTGCTAGCAATAAAAAGTTTGGGAAGAATAAGCAATTTATTTTCAAGTTCCATTGAAATATATATGCAGATGGGGAAACGTTCTTGAAGTCAACACCGCAAGATCTTACATTTACTACAACTGACCTAAAGATCAGTGGGATTGACCGCCCAGACTTCTTGGCGCCAAATACCACGCGCTGTCAAAATCTGATGAACACATGTAGCTGTTCACCTACATGGATAACTAATTTGTCAACAATAAAAATGATGTCTTTCTTAACTCCTTGAGAGCTTCACAGAGAGTTCCACTGGGTATTTACGTTACCTGTGAGTCACTTTTTATTTCCCCAGATGCATGAAATATTGATATTATTTAGCGTAATCCATGAAGAACTCCATTCCTGTGACCCCCCTCCCCCACAATGGGACCGTCTTCATTAATATGTGGTTTGCGCTAGGTATGCTGGAGCAGACCAGATAAGACCAGTCTCTCATTTCTGCATGTGCGCAATTCTCACATCAAATTATAAATGCATTTGTTTTGTGAAAATTTTGGCAATTACTAGTAATCACACAGGGGGGTTTTCAATATGCACCGTGGTTTGTGTATATGCAGTAAGTAAGAAAATCGAAAGAGTGCCAGCAAGTTACGTCTATCGGCACAGGTAGACTCTGTAGTTTGCCCTTTCTCAATATGTTTTAATATAACATGGTTTTTTTTAATTAAATACTTAAAAGTTACAATGAATTCCGTTTGAGTACCAGTTGGTATGCTTTGATAGGGGTGATTGAATAGGGCGTACGTAGATCATATAACTAGTTTAAGTCTACTAAAGCTACCGGTTTCAAATAGAAGTGACCGGGCATTGTTACAACACCTGTCTCTGGGGAAATACTCGTCCCACTTGAGAAGTGCGTCATGAAAATGATCGTAGGTGAGGGGAAATAAATAGGTAGAAATTATAATTGTCGTCTTTTTGAATGTTAAGTTATGTTAGCACATATTGTACACAGCAAAATAAGATTTCAAAAGGAGGATAAAACGTGCCTGAAACATGTGTTAGGCGAAAATTGCAGCTTATCTTGCGTAACATTTTGGGTAAAATGCAATACTTCCGGTAAGATGGACGTTTTGGCAGATGTCCCTAACAATCCGACGATATCAAAGGTTTCCAATGCTATATTTTAATCAATTCGACCAAAATGACATTTCCGTGAAATTAATTAATTTATCTTGGTCGAATTGTTTGGCATATTACCGTATTTTGCTCTCTTTCCAGATCCACTGGCCAACTATTATGGCAGATGTGAACGAAACTGTTGCCGAGCTGAAGAGACAACAAGCCAAGGGGAGAATAAGATATTATGGCGTCTGCAACTTTGGACCCAATGATCTGCGAGGTTTTCTTGAGGCAGGAGGACAGCCCATCTCTAACCAGGTGTGGTACCCATAGACTCTTAATTCAGAACATTTAAGATATGGCCGTTTCTTAAAGAGTGCATAATTTTACATTATAGACCATCATATTGGAAAATTTCAATTTTCACACATGGAAATTTTACTTATATTTCCATTAATTACCAAGGTATTACATATTCAGAACTGGTCCCAGAATAACAATCTGTAAACCCTTTTTTTAGTTTAGAGTCTGAAAATTAAATGTTTTTAAAACTATATTCCCTAAAGTGACTTGGCTTATTTATTCATTATATTAACTTCATTTTCTTATAATTTGATGATATTTAAAGGTGTGCTACAATCTTCTGTGGAGGTCCATAGAGGAGGAACTACTTCCTCTCTGCCAGGAGAAAGGCATATCCCTCCTCCCCTACTCACCACTTCAGCAGGGACTACTTACAGGGAAGTTCCAGATGCCGTCTGATGTCCCTGAGGGAAGAAGGCGAGGGAAGTTATTTCATAAGGACAGGTACAAAATATATGGGCCATTGCACATTATTTTTTTAGTGTTTATGTTTTTGAGTTAAATTTTCAAGCTGTATTTATTTTAGGTTTTCTACTCCCAAAATTTCAACATGTTATTCATTTATAAAAAAGGGAGATAAAATTGCTTGAGACGATCTTACATGATTGATATGAATTTTTTTTTTTACTGAGTCAAGCACCATTTATTGCGTGTCTCTAACTACAGCATATGTAGGCCTTTTTCTTGCCTGATAACACACTTTTACGAAATGGACCTAACTCCCAGGGGGTTCACGCTAAATTACTGTCAGCCGACCGCGCATGGAAGTTAATTATCCCCTTACAGCTTTTAGTAGGCAGGACAGACATGTAAGCCGGCCAAGCTGACAGTAATCTAGTGAGACTCCCCACGGGGATAGATCCATCTAAAATCTGTGGGAATGGGGTCTATCATATGGGCATAAGTCCTTGTTTGACCAAACTTACACTTTAACAATATTGCTTTTCAAGTACCCCCCTTGCTCGCCACGGCCATGATGGAGCAGAAAAAGAGGTGTTTCAGGTATGATATTTGATGTTTTATTTATTTAAAACGAGATGAATAAAAAAAACTAATTAAATAAGTTGGAATGAGATGGAATAAAATGAAATACATAAAAGTATTACACGCTTATATAGAAGACAGTTAAAAAGATTATAAATAAAGTAGTCCCACAAGCATGTTTTCCTTTGATTGTCTGTCCAGACATCTAGGGCTACGTATTGACTAAAACATTCATAACAGAGACAGGCATAGTTTACAAGTGCAGACAAAAGTTGTATAAAGAGTGATGTCAGATTTTCAATTATATGATTGCACTCTATGATAACATTTCCTTTGATTTTATCAAAGGTCTTGACATTTTTAGACAAAATTCATCAAAATTTGTGTGACTGTGTGAGTGATGCATATTGATAATAGTGGTAAATTTTTTTATACTTTTCTTTGTCAGGTTATAACTTATTTAGGATCTGAGTTAATTTTGTTATTACACTAGAGTGGGTCTGGGAGGTTGAAAATGATGAGGTTGAAAATGTAATAAATGTTTTGTTTGTTTTTTTTCTGTTTGAACAAAAAAGTATATTCAGAAAGTTTATCACAGCTTGAGCAGTTTATTATAAACAGATAACAGATAAGCAGTAGAAAATACAAAAAAGCATGTCATTCTCTTTCTTGAATATTATTATTATAGATATAATGTACATTTTAGAAGATATAGCTTATTATTATGCACAACACTGTACAGTCATGTAACACATTTCAAACTTAAGAGCTTTTTCGATCTTCGTCCGTATTGAAACAAGAAACAAATAGGTTCCAGTGGTTCCAACAGCCCATATTTCACGGTTGAAAATTGTTGAGCCATATCAAACCTGAGCTAGAATAAATTATAGAAATATGAGATGCATGTGTGATTAAAAAAACTGTATATATGAAACATAAAAGGATAAACACATAATCATGTTTCCAATGCTCTAGGCCATCAGTGAAATCCGCGAGGTGTGTGCCAAAGCCAACATTCCCATGGCAACAGCATCATTGTCATGGTTACTACAGCAGCCATGCGTGAAGTCAGTCATTGTTGGAGCTTCTAACCCGCAGCAGGTGGTAGAGAATTGCCAGAGAGTGACCTTGCCAGAGGTGAAGATATTTTTAATACCCTACTATTAGTGTGTGTGTGCGCGTACGCTAGTGTGTGTGTGTGTATGTGTGTGTGTGCGTGCGTACATGAATGCATGTGGGTCAGAACCTCCGGCTAAGTTTGGTGGTTGGATCCATATATGGCTATTGTTGGCTGTAAAGAAAATTCCCTTTAAGAAAATGTTTTGTCTCAAGGTAATGAAAGAGTGAAGGGAATTTTTGAAGAAAACAAATAGCTTCTCTCAGAGAGAGAGAGAGTGAGAGAGTTATAAACATATTGATTTTTTGAGGGGAAGTTTCTGTAAATGTCTTTTAAAGTGATTCCAACAGCTATTCCCCTATATCCATAAGACATTATATAACCATAATATAAAATAATTATGTTTCTTAAAACATGTTTTCCTAACATCAATATTCTAGGACGTGGTACAGAAGTTCTCTGCAGCTACGGACCCAGTGAAGGTGATATTCAAGGGTGATATGGACCAGTGGGCTTACGGAAGGTCAAGTTAAATTGACTGTTTATAAGACTCATAATACACGGTACACTAGGTTGCAGTGCTCACCATTTAGCTGTCAAATAGAGGATGTTTGGTTTGGAGGGTGTTTCAGTCACCCCGAGTCTTACAGGTTAACTGACCTGTCTGTTACCAGGCTGTCTACCATTTCCAGTAATAATGAAAAAAATATTTTTTCAGGTAATATATATGAACAAAATACATATCAGAAATTTGAATATTGACAGAGCTCTAAAAAATGATTATAAAAAAATTAGGAATGACAGTATAAAATTCTGAAATTTAAGATGTGAAAATAAAATGTATATAGTGTATTAAAAAGTAATTTAAAAATTTTTTTTTTAATTTAGGGTTAAAACTAGAAAAAAGCAACCTCTAAGACTCACAGTGTGTCAGTATACCTATTTGCGTATACAATTCTTTCCTACTATTAACTTAGTCTTATGGTCATGTATTTATGTTGCCTACTTGGGAAGTACCACTGTGATTACAGTCATAACTTCTCATTAATTTTAAGCTGTAATTGCTAAAGTAGAAGTCCCAAAGCAGAACCGTGTCAGAAAGAATTGCCCCAGATCTCTGTTAAAATCCTTAGGAGATCTTTATAAACTGTTAGGCCCCCCCCCCCCCCCCCCCCCCCTCCATAGACATATTTTTCTCTGCCCTGGTGTTATTTTGATTTAGTGGGTGAAACAAAGAATGGTCAGTAGGTACAAAAAAGCACAATTTTTAAAAATCAGGAAATATGCTTCTTATATTTTCATTTAAGCACAAGTTCCTTGAAATTGTAAATGAAAAAGAGGCCAAATGGCTTTGAATCCAATGTCATTATAGTATGGTCACATTGCTTAACAAACCTCTCATCTAAAATTTTTATTCCACATATCAAGTGAAGTATGCACAATCTATGCAGTGGCATCATAATAATTGTTCTACCAAATTTATTACTGGGTACTTAATTATTATTCTTATTATTTTTGTTCTTATTATTATTTTATTTTTTTATGTTGTGTCAATATTTCAGTAGTGTTTGAAACTCTTATTTAGACAAGTAAAAAGATGACAAAGTTTCTAGTAAATTATGTACGATGTTTGTTTATAAAGATAAGCAAAATAAATTACTACCTCTGCTTCAATGTTATTACATGAGGTAGCAATATGACAGAGTTACCGGAAAGAAAATTGTGTACTGAGAAAGCTAATTAAATGGTGAAAGCTCGATAATGATAATTTCAACAGTGCACATTTGCACTACACTTCTGTAGTCATAGTCTAAAGGGTTTTGAAATTCTGATTCACATTTCAGAATGAAAAATATTGGTAAATAAAGGAATCGGACTGAATTCTGTGTTTGTGACTGATAACAATGAGGACATGTTTCTTTTTGCATAGCACTTTTAAAAACTTCAACTAACCGCTGCTGCATATAATAATTGCAAGAGTTTTCTTCAAGCTGTAGGACTATACTCAGTACATCAACTGTACTAAGCAATTATCTATTTGTTTGTTTTTTTTTTCCAGCTGATATAATGATACTTGTATATCATTTTGGCTCTTGCAGTCTGTGTATTCTTTTTCTAGACTTAAACTTTGGTATATGCACAAATCTATATGAGTGACAAAGGGATCTTAGCAAAAAAAAAAAAAAAAAACTGAAATTGCAAACTATTTAAGATAAAATACTGGAATTAATGGTTCCAATTCAGAAAAGTTGCTTTATTCAATTTGAATCAGATATTTATTACAGATTACTAGCTGAAATAACATTTTGTCACGTTTATCTCTTTTACTTTCCATTGAGAAACTCTGGAAGATAACTTTCACACACACCTAATGCATGCCAGCACATCTTTTACTTTTGACTTCATTCAAGTACGTGTGAATAGAATACTTCCACAGTCCCTCAGCTTTGCACCCAAATAAACCTTATCATAATTATGATTAGCTTAGCTTTATCTGGCCCTACTATACTGTGACAAACAAAATACGATGTGTCATTTCATTGTGTAGGACATGAGCTGTCATGTTCGAGGAGTGGTTGAAAAGTTCTTCACTGAATCCAAAGAGTAAAGGGAGTGGTTTTCCATCTTTCATCTTGTAAAAAAAAAACAACAACATTCGAGATGTGGATTCCATGCCTGTCTCAGGGGACAGTGGCTTTGGGGTTAGCATACTATAAAAGTGAATGGATTGTCACATCCTGTGCACTGATGACCTTATCCCACTGTCATCATCTAGCAAGGGTCTCCGAAGTTTACTGAACTAACTAGATGATTATTGCACAAAATGGAAATTGGTGGTTAATGTTACATAAGATTTTTAGTTATTATGATCTTCAAAAATAAATAAATAAATAAATAAAATATCATCTGAAGTTCACAATAAATGGAAGCACTGTTGAAAAAGTAAAAGAAAATGTTTACCTGAGAAGAACTTCATTAATGTAGACCATAGTGTAAATGGTATTATCAAGCTACATATAATAATGATGAAATTACAATTACATAAATAAATAGAAGAATAAATACATGATACAGCTTGATTTAGAGAGTAAATATTTTTTTTAAAATGTACCCAAACCATCATCCCATTGCCGAGTCAACCGCTCACAACAGTGGGTTTTTATATACATGTTATTATCAAGCTACATATTGTTAGAGTACATATTGTACAATTGCACAGGTAAATATATAAATGAATAAATAAAAGCGTTATATGTTGAATAAATATAAATAAATAGTGTGCAATTAGTTAGTAGCATGATGTTTAACCCCACTGCCGAACTATTTTGTAAATAATTCTGGTCTAGGTTATGCTTGGATTGATCTTCGTCGCAGTTCGGCAACGCTCCTTTTTTAATGAGTTCTAAAGGCAACTTAAAAGAGATATAAGAGACCCTATCTAACTCCTTTGCCTTGTGGCATAATGCATTCATAAAAGTGACTTATTTTGTGAGGAGGGTGCATGTCTTGTCTCACTTAAAAAGGAATCGTTCTTCGCAATGGTTGCTTAACTAATGCTATCTAACTTTGTACAAATAGGATTTTAAATGATCGCCAAAATTATGACATTAATGAATGTTGCATATCAAAAGTTTTGATACGATTAAATAATGGTTAATAAGGATTATGGGTTACTATTTAGCTCTGGCGTTAACTTCGTCTTGCGATATATAAATGAACAAAAGTTGCAGATCGTAACAAATTTAAGTTAATTATAGTGTAGTAACGTACAGCCCAGCAGATAATGTGTTATACCGGTAAGCAGGCATTAACTACGTCTCCCCCACGCCCCCCTCCCCAAAAAATGTTTCTTATAATGTCAAAATGTTTTCTAAGGCTAAGCAAAGAATTGTTTTACGACTCATTCACTGAAACAGCATGTTGTAATCGATATTAAGGGGGGGGGGGGGGTATACCTATTCATGGATAAAATATCAAAATTCACCTTATTTCCCTGGTGTTGAGTTTTGTGACAGTAATGTATCGAAGAAATATGAAAGTATGCATGATGGAAGATGCATGCGCAATATTTGTGGAATAAAGTGGTGTATTTTGACAACAAGTGGGCCTCAGCCAAATGTACATCAGGGGTGGATCCTGGATTTTTTTAAAGGGGGAGGGGTCCGGTTCACCCCAATGGCGTTAGGTTCAGGGCACGCTCTAGGGCCTCAAAAATTTAGTGCTTAAGAGGACAAATCGCGCGCATTTAGAACCATGATTCAGCTAGGCGTTTTTGGTACGACGTTTGTAAATCAGAAATCGAAGGGGAGGGTCCGGACCCCCTGACACCCCCTAAATTCGTCCCTGTAATATTGACCGTGAACATTTGTGAACAGTTTCAACCACAGCCCCTCACCTAAAATGGACCATACCTGTCTGTAATTTGCATAACAATAAGTTGCTCACCGTAGTGCGAGCTGTCTTCTCGAATGCTCAGTTGGAAGTAGGACACAGCAGGAAGAAGACGCAATAAGTATGTGTGGTGCGGTCGCAAGGTGGAACTTTCATGAGGCGTAGAAGCAAATGCACGTTTTGTAAGTATTACTTTTTCTTCGGTGACCTATGACAGTAGATGAAATAAGCGTAGAAGAATGCAAGAGAATTTACAGCAAGTATTTATGTCACGACTCTTTGTTATATTTTGCCTATCGTTTCTGTGTGCGGAGAAAGTGACATTACGGAAACGCTAACGTCAAAAACGATTGTCTTACGTACGCCCCTTTAGAGGACAAAAGAATTGTGTGAAAAATTAGTAAGTTAAGGGACAATTCCGACTTACGTATATTTTACGTACATCTTACATGTCACTCAAAATGTTAGCTAGCATATTAGTAGATGGGCATATTATTTCAAAAATCACGGGCTAATTTAAGTGATAATAGTAATACCGGTACTTGTCACAGTTCCGAACTTTTGACCCATCGATTTTAATGGTCAAATTTAATGGTCAAAGTTTATCAAAAATTCAAACGTCTCCTTTTACGACAATCACGATAGTTTAAAAAGAAATAAAATACCCTTTCGAATTAAATTATCTTATTGTTAATTTGGTCTCGTTGAGGTTTTCATTTCATTTCTTTAAATCAGTTTTTGTAGATTTGTTTATTCTACTACAATGTATACATGTACCCGTAAAATGTTTGTAAGCAGTGTTGAATAACGGAGAAAATGATTTATGATAAAGAAAAATATGGCCCCCAAACGTGTGATGCATAGCGATTTTAGATGTTACAACATGAAATGGGAGGTAAAATGAATTAACGTCGCTAGTAATAACCTCCACAAATTAAAGAAATGTGTTCAATGTTTATTTTTTCAAAGCATGATATCTCAAATACGATTATCATTAACTTACGGTCTTAACTTTGGCGTAAGGCAACCTTGATATCGATTTATTTTTATGTACAGACACAGACGTGTCTGTACATATAGCCGTCACCTGCGTCTGTCGTCGCCGTCGCCGTAGTCGCCGTGCACTCAGCGATAACACGATAAGTGGAATACAGTTGTACATTTTGTATTCAAATTTACAGAACTGATGAATATTCATAATACGCAGGTCAAGTTCGAAAATCAGCATGTTTTTTAGAGAAGTTATGCTGTTTTTTCACTTTTTTGGCATTATTATAACACCGATAACACGATAAGTGAAAAACCTTTTTACTTTTTGGCTTGAAACTTATAAAACTGATGAATTTTCATAATATACAGGTCAAGTTCGAAAATCAGAGCTATCGGGTCAATTTTATGGAAGTTATGCTGTTTTTTCACTTTTTTCAGCATATATGCAACACCGATAACACAATAAGTGGAAAACGTTTTACCTTTTGGCTTGAAACTTACAGAACTGATGAATATTTATAATACGCAGGTCAAGTTCGAAAATCAGAGCTATTGGGTCAATTTTATGGAATTTATGCTGTTTTTTCACTTTTTTCAGCATATATGCAGCACCGATAACACAATAAGTGGAAAACTGTTTTTTTTTCTTTTGTGTTGAAACTTACATGAATATTCATAATACGTAGGTCAAGTTCGAAAATTGGCTTGATTGGACTATTTTTACAAAAGTTATAAATAAATGCTGTTTTTTCTCTTATATGCAACACTGATAACAAATTTTAAGGAAAACCAATCGGCCTTTTGTCTTGCAACTCAAAGGAGTGATTAGTCTGACTAGTATACAGGTCAAGTTTGAAAATAAGCTTGATCAGTTAAGTTTTGAAGAAGTTATTAGCCTTTTTGTATATAAGTGTTTTTTTTCTTCAGATTTAATTCTTGGGCATGTTAACAGTCCCATTATGGAACTAATTAGATATGTAAAAGTGTTGTTTTTACATTTTCTGCTTCTTAACAATATTGTTAGTTGATAATATGAAAATGACAGTAACCTGTTAATGTGCATTGTGTAATAAAGTATCAAAAATGGAAAGGAATTCATCATTGCAGTTCATCAGATTCAATCATTCACTATGTTCAGAATCTGTGAATGGAGCAAATTGGACATTTAAAATTGTTCTATTGATATTTTTCCT